CCCGTGCGGGCCAGTGTTGTCAAATGGAGGAAGTCCCTGACGGTGCCCCAAATCTCACCGTACACAGTGCTAGGAGCCAGGAGGGCCAGTGGCCAACACTCCTGCCGAAGCCCCGCTCCTGGGTGGGTCACTGGGCTGAGGCTGCGGCTCCTCGTCTACCTGGGCAGCGCCAGAAATCAGTGGGCAGATGGCACTCCGGGAGCATCTCATCTGCAGAGACAGTGGGGCCCTGTTGGCCTCATCCCAAGCCTTTCCCAATGGTGTGGCCATCATCTGGCCTGACCTTGAGGTTGCCATCTGGTGCCCGCTGCCCCTTCGCTTGTCCGCCACCGGCACGACTAGTTCTGTGGTGGGGGGCTCACCCCAGGCGCTGAGATCCACCTATGCGGGCTGCAGCGGCGCTGGGGGGACGGTTAGCGCTGGGCAGGGTGACGACGGCCCTGGGGGAATTTACTCGCAAAGTTGTGGTCTGGAGCAGCGGGAGCACAGGGGTCGCCTCCCTTTCGGGGGCACCTGTGCAGAAGAGGGAGCGGGGCTCTCCCAGGGCAGCTCTGCCAGGATTTCCGACCCTGCCACTGGTTCCCCAGGTGTAAAACAGGGATTTCATGGCTCACCTTCATAAAAAGCATTGAGAGCCCAAGGTGAAAAGTGCGAAGTGAGTGCCATTTCACTGCTGCTCTGAGAAAGAGCTGAGAAATAGAGTGGACAAGGGTGGTTTAAGTGTCTGGTGCGTTCTCAGCTCTCGAAGTGAAGATTCATCTGCTATCTATCTGAGTTACCCACGTGAGAAGTGCTTTGCCTTCATACATTTCTTTTATTTTTAAAATAAGCATGCAGCGTGGGCCAGATCCATTGACATCAGCAGAGCTGGGTCATCTTGTACTCACTGAGAGGAACTGGTCCACTTAATTTTGAGGGAAAACACACTAATGTACACCCCACGCTCCCTTCCTACCAGAATCTTCTGGCCAGACCTGTATTCTCACTACATGCTCCGTGCGCAGGGGCAGCTTAACCCTCATCCCTCCTACACAGGCTTAAGGAGCTCAGCTTGCTGATGCTGTTGGTGTTTACAGATGTAAGCAGCTGGTCAGAGATTCAAATATTGCTGTTCTGAGCTCATCAGAATTTGGGAAGCATTTGGGCTAATTGCAGGCTGAGGTTTCCCTAAGCCAGCACTTGAGATGGCAGCAGTAAAATTCTTCAGGGATGGGAAGGTGAAAGGAGGGACGGGCTGAGAGGCAGGGTTATGTTTTGTCTTATTTGGTGCTACAGCTTGAAAATCAAAATGCCTGTCTTTGCCAGCCTAGCCCATATGAGGGCACCTAAGGAGATACTATCGTGGGGAAATCAGGCTGGAGATAGAGAGAGCCGGATGTTAACAGCATGTCCTAAAGACACCTAGGATTTCTGCCATTGAGACATACCGGTAGGTGCCCTCGATGCCAGACCGAGCCCTCTAGTAGGAGGCAGAGTTATCCTTGCCATTCAAACTTGTTTGGTCCTTTCGTCTTCCCACTCTGGATTGCAACTCTAACCCCGACACATACCCAGCTGCATGCTCAGGGATTATGTGCACAGCCTAACACACAAGACCAGCTGGTGCTTTCCAAGTGCACTAATGCCATGGGCGCCCTGCAGGTCCGGAGGCAACTCGAGCCAGCTCTGCCCACACCAGCTCCAGTGCCAAGGCTGCAAGAGGAGCGCATTCCTCTTGGCTGTGCGCAGCCAGACCAGTTTTGGAAATGGTACAGCCCAATTTGACCAACCTGATTGCTTCTTATGATGAAGTGGTGAGATCTGTGGATGAGAGAGCAGGGGAGGCATCTAACTTGACTTCAAGAAAGCTTATGACATGGTCTCCAAGAGTATCCTGGCATCCAAGCCAGGAAATCACAGTCTGGATGGGTGGCTTCCTAAAGCAGTGAAACACTGGCTGGATGGTCGGGTAGTGGTCCCAAGGTGGTGGTTATGGACTTATAGTCTACCCAGTAGCCAGATACAAGAGGAGTTCCTCAGGGGATTTGAGGTGGGGATGAGCAAGGGGTCAAGCATCGGTAGCAAAAGAGATTGGGAACTTGATTAAACTCCAGCAGATAAACAAAGATGAAAAAACTGGGCATGCCTCTCCTAAAGGGGAAGCGGCTAAGTGGGGCCAAGGATGTCTATGGGAAATTGCCTCCTGAGAGCTAGAGGTGCCTAAAGACCATGTGCTGCGGCACATCTGCCCCAAAACAAAAACTACGGGGCAGTCCGTGTGATCGAAAACTGGCTTCTCCAGGTGTAAAGTCACACGATAGCATCACTGCCCTGAGAAATCACTGAGCCCATGGGACAAGGCCAGGCTCGGATGCCAAATGGGTCAAGTCCAGGGCTACCTCAATACAAGTACCGTAGATACAGTCTGCAGGCCCTCCAGAAGTCCCCCACACCCCCAGCTTGTCCCTGAGTCCCGGGGGCTTAGGAGGGAGATTTCCTGGGGGTTAGCCATCCTTAACCAACCTCTCACAGGGCCTTTTGCAGATCCTCAGGCTTTCTGAGAAAGCTCAAGTTGCATATTCAAAATGACTAAACAACTGGAAATCTTTAGCCTCGACTTTTTCTCGGTTCCTCCACCTCTGCAAAAGGAGTGGCGATCGTTTCGTATGTGAATCTCTTCCAGACTGCCTTATGTTCATTAGCAGAACTGTGCTTAGAGGACAGGTCCCTATTGACCAAAACACTGCAAGAAATATATTAAAAATATAATATTATGTGGATATTATTATATAAATTGGTATCTCAAGCACCTGAAGAAGTTAGGCACCTATTTGCCAAGGATTTGAGGATTCAATTCGCTTAGAGTCCTTCAAAAATCTTAGCCTTCAGTAATTTTTCCCAATGTTTTTAAAAACTCTCTGCCAGCAACTATTTTAAAAACAATAAAATAAAAATATCTGACTATTTTAATCTGTAGGAGTGAAAAGAAAAATATAGCAAACCAGACTCAGACAATGTCTAACTTTTTTCAATTGAATTTAGCAGGAAAATTGTGTCCAGTCTCAACGGTAGGTTAATAGAATCATAAACGCTAGAGATGGATAAGTTTTATTGTGTCATTGCATCCTCCCTCTGCTCCTTGTAGAAGATCATCCGTGCCAGATATTTCCAATGCTCTGTATCGTCTGGCTTTAGAAGATTAGAGGAACCGAGTGTCCAATTCTTTGTGCTCTGAAAATTAAAAAGGCTGGGGTCTGGCAGTCGCAGCTTGTCTGTTTGGAGCTCATTGATTGCAATCGGTTTTAAAACTCTCTGTATCTCCCCGGCTCGGGTTGCAAACGCCATCTGCATGCAGGGCTTGCTGAGACTTGTCTGCTGTCTCTTTACCTCTGTGCTGGACTGATGGTTCAAATCCTGGAGATACACAGCTAGCAGCAGTGAGCTCTAAAACATTGATGCTTGTCGGTATACAGAGAAGCACCCTCAGGCAAAAATTGGACTGTGCAAAGAACCAGCCAGCCTGGGCGCCCCGAAGGGCCGGTAACTAAGCGGTATCCTTCAGAAGGACATCCATCACCTAAGGAGACAAAGAGGGCTCACCCTGCGAAGGGGTGAGATAGATATTAATGAACTTACCCCCCCCCCCAAACAATTTTAGGGGAAGAGAGGCACAACCAGAGAGTTTTCACGTCCTGTGGGGGAAGCCCTGTGCAAGAAAAGGACTTTGGCTCTTTAAAAGTCTCAGGTGCAACCTCAAAGAGCACAGCAGAAAACGGTGCTGTTTTTCCTTGGCTTACATCTGTCTAGTGATGACTGGAGGAAAGAGGAACTGTGAGATCTGGGGCTTGGGCAAGGCCAGAGTACTGCGTGCCATGGGCAGCTGTAGCTTGGGCAGCCTGAGCTGCGGGCAAGCAGGGCCCACTGGGGCTCGGGGACGAGCGAAGGCAAGCAGGGCTCCGTGGGAGCCGCACCGAAGCGGCCCGGGCAGCACCACTGCCGCCATTCCTACCTCAGGCGGAGCTGCTGAAAATACCTTCTGCAACTCTGAGCTGACTTTTCCCAGGTGGATGTCATGCAGTGCATAATAAAGTAATCCCAAAACATCCCCTGTGCCTCTGGAAAGAGGGAGAGAAATCCAACTGGTATCTTTGGACAGCTGTATTTTTTTCTGCAGACGTGATTGCTGTCTGATAGACAGCAAGACTAGATTTAATTTCACACAGTCACCACTCTGGTCCTTTCCCATCCCTTGTCTTCAGAGGCGAAGCAAGGATCACACCTCATGGCTATGGAAAATGGAACGTAGTGGCTCAGTACCGCATCTCTGGTTGAGGGCCTGGAGATTCCCAAGCTAACAGTGACACCTCCTGTTTGTACAACATTCAGCTAGGAACCAGCTCACCCAGGCTGGGGCAGAAATGCAAGAGCAAGCAGGGAACAGTACAACCATCAGGCATCCTCCTTCTGCACACAGAGTACTTTGCTATCTAAATCTCATTTGCAGCCAGAAAAAAATCAAGTCCTCTTCCAGCTGCAAGTGCCGATCCACAGGGACAAGTCTGTGCCTTTGTCTAGTGAGAGCTGACCTGTGCTGAGAGGTGCTTAGGAGAGAAAAGCCAGGAGAGATGAGCATGAACTAAGGTGCAGAATGGAGATTGCTTACAAAAACAAAAAAAATATGGTCCTTGAATTGCAATTAATTATGGACTGTTAAAAGTTGTCCTTTAATTTTTTATTTAGAAGTAAAATTTGTTTAAATAGCATTTTGCTTCCCAAGAGCTACTGGTTTACACCCAGAGCATCAGAGAACCTGATAAATACAGCGTTTCTGGCAAGTTTTGCCCTGACTAGGCGAGAATCCCCTCCCCAACACACAGAGGTGAGACCCTCCAGCTAAGTTGAGGAGTTGTTGTTTTTTTTTGCTTCCGGCTTATTGGGAGTTACCATCTCTTTACCCACTCCTGTAAGACTCTGGTAATTCCCTTGTGCAGTTTCCTGACTCTCTCAATTTTTTCATTCAGGTGTTCAAGATGTCATTGAAGGTGCAGACAAGTAACATCACAAACAAGAATGACCCCAAGTCCATCAACTCCAGAGTCTTCATTGGCAATCTCAACACAGCTGTGGTCAAGAAGTCAGATGTGGAGACCATTTTCTCCAAGTACGGCCGAGTGGTGGGCTGCTCCGTTCACAAGGGCTATGCCTTCGTACAGTACTCCAATGAGAGGCACGCACGTGCTGCTGTCCTGGGTGAGAATGGGCGCGTGCTTGCCGGCCAGACCCTGGGTAAGTCTTCTCCCTAGGTATTTTGGGAGTCAGGACGCAGCAAGGGCTGAGGAAATGGGAGCCAGGAGCTGAGCAGGATAACATGGCTAGGACGGTAGGATCCTCACCAGCCAGGGCCCTATCCCATAGCGCCCAAATGAGGCAAGCGGGGCAGACCCATAGATGGTAACCAGGTTTCAATCAAGAGCCCAGATCATCAGGCAAGTCCACAGTGATGAGGCAGGTCTGAGGTCAAGGCAGGAATTCGGTCCTCAGGTCCGGGTCAGACACAGTCTGATGATCACTGGGCCAATCCATAGTGACAAGGCAGGTCTGAGGTCAAGCCAGGAAGTCAGTCTGCGGGTCAGGGTCTGGATCTGGATCGGTAGGGTCCGTGGCTGGGCATGGGTACCGGGGACAGGTACAATAGAGCCGAAGACTAGAACTCCTGAAGAAGCATTTCTGAGGCAGGGGCTGGGTGCCCAGGCCAGACCTTAAATGGGGCTCTTGGGCCTGTGGGCAGGGACTATGGTAGGGGTCCCAAGTAAGGCTGGTCAGGATCGGTATGGCCTATTAACGCCCTGACATTAGGCCCCAGAAACTCACATTATGGACTGTGATTGTAGAAGCTAAAACACAGAGTCCTGAATGATCCCATTTTCTCGTCCTTAAAGCCTTGCGCTGGTAGGGATGGAAAAGGCTGGGAGAAAACTTTTCCTCGTTCTGTTTCTGGACAGGGCCATGAGTTTCTGAGGTCTGGGGGTCCCTGAACACTCTCATTTGTTTAGTTACTGATTATATTGCGCCTGGCGTGATCTTAGCCTCTGCTTAACATGCCGGCATAAACGATCTAACAGGGAGCTTGCATGGAGAAAAACAGATGTGCCCGAATTAACCGTGTGTCATTAGTATTCATACATGTTAACTGCAATGGCTGGATTATGGCATTTAAAAGTCACTGGAGCATGAAGATATGTTAACATTATTGATATTATTGCAATACTAAAAGCCCCAGTGCATTTTAGGCACATTTAGACTCTGTACATGTGTAGCAAGAGGTGTTCACTGCTATGAATCTTACAGTCTAAACAGCAAAGAGCAGGGCAACTTCAAGTCTTCTGTGCTTATCCTTTCTGCTTCTAGTCATAGAGGAGATCATGAGGATGGCCTGAGAAGAGAGCCTTGATATCCTTTTTCCCATGCCAGTGCCCTTCACTCTGGACGACGGCACTGTCTGGACTTTGTAGAGGCTATGGGGGCTTAAGATAAAAATCCTGCATTGATGATACTGACAGACACTGGTGTTGTGCCCTTCATTTCAAGGTTGCCCGGACTAAAATGACAGCAGCTCATCACCTGTAGGGCTTCCCCTAGCACTAGAAGATAAACTTCATCTCACCTTTCTTTCACCATTCGAAAATCAAGTGTCCAGTCATGACTGATCACCTAGACATCCTCTACAGTCAGCAGAGCTGGGCACCTCGGGGAGTGAGTGCTCAGCTTGGGATGGAGATGCCCGCCTTACCCTTTACCTGTCGAGAGAGACTGTAGTCTAACTCTGAGTACCTCTGACAAACTTTACTTAACTGGTGTTAAATGAGATGAATTCCTCCCCTCCCACCCCCCGATAAGTGAAAGTCTCTGGTCTACCACTGCTGCGTGATAAAAAATAACAAACAAAAACACCCCAGCTGCTCCCAGCTGCATCCTTATTTTGCAGATTGCCCCGAAGTGTCACATGCTGAGAAGCTCTTGTCAGCAGCTCTAAGCTGAGAATTGGAATTGAAGACAGCATTTTTAATGAAAAATTGTTATTTCTGAGCCTGCTGCAGGCAGTGGTCGTTGGACACCCAGGGAAGAGATCTGCAGCCCGTTCCCACTCTGCTTCTGGCACAACAGTCTGAAAGAAGAAGTTGAACGGTAGATCCGATCCTTAAGACTGTATATTGTTTCCATCTATGGTTTATTCAAACACCAGAAACTCTTCTACACTTCTCTTCCCTTCAGCACAGAGGAAAGTTGAAGGCAAAGGCTGAAGTGAATTGTGCCAGCGTTGCTTCCAGTTGCTGAAGAGAGATGACTAGGAAAGGGTACCCTGATAGGAACCTCTGATACCGTCCTCAGTGCTGGGCCCAAATGTCTGGTTAGCTGACAAGACAAAGGGACAATTTGTGGCTGTGAGTCCTGCTCACATACTGGAGGAGGTGCAAATGCAGCTGCCTTTAATCTGCCTTCTTTTCATGAACCAGTCCTGCCACAGAAGAGCTCAGCAGGCTTTTCTGTGCTGTCGGTGACATAAGGGCCAGAAACGCTGGCATGCTCCCCTTGCAGGAGAATCCAGCAGGGAGGAGGAGAAAAACATCTTTGCACAAAACAAGCAGTCAGGGAACTGCTGGTGGAAAGCTCCCCGAAAAGAGGAGGTCACAGCCACGCAGGCTGTGCTAATGGGGAGAGGAAGGATGGGCTCAGACAAGCAGGGGACGTGGTAGACACGTTGCCAAAGAGGATATTCCTGCTTCTATTCAAAGGCAGAGTTCAGGGAAGTGGGGAACTCTTAAGCTGATGCTGAAATTTCCCTCCCCAGGCAGGCAGTGGGAAAGTAGCCTGCTTTCTGCCCTGGCAGGAATGTTTTCGTCTTTAAGTTAGAACCTGTGGGTACAATCAAAAATGTCAAGCTCCAAAACAGGTTCTGAATTTGAGTCTCATCTGCAGGTTGCAAGTATTTCATCCCCTAGGCTCCCTGAAGGTGCTGGCCAGAGCAAACATCCGTTTCCAGCTCCATCCGGTAACTTAAGCAGGGCAGGATGCAGCCATGTGTTCCTTTGGAATAGCAGCAAACCATCACTCCTTCACGTGAACGGCTGCGTCCAGCACAGCAGGGCTAGCAGGAGCTCACTGGCACTCACCGCCCGCATGGGACTAACACACAGCTCGCCTGCTGAGGCATGCTGAGCTCGTGCAGGCTCTGTGGGGCGACATGGCTCTAGGCAGTGCCCAGTGTAGGGGCAAAGTACCCCCAACCTAGTGAGGGGCAGTGCAAGGCAGCCTGTTCCCCAGTGCCAGCAGGAGGTCACTGAGCAAGAGAGCATCCCTGTCTGAATCCAAAACCACTCCTCCCCATCAAGCACTCACTGTAATGACTCAGTTGTAGTACCCCTGCACAGCACAGTTTAAACAAAAAAGCCCTTCCTGGGAAGGCAGGCTCTTTCCCGCTTCGGTTGTTCAGGGAATGAGAATTTACACCAAAGTTTAAGAAAAGCTTGAAAGCTTTGCATGCCATGTCAGTGCTATGCCTGTCACTCTTGCCTGAGCTGCCGTGTCATCTGAGGAGCGCTTGCCTTCCCCAGCATCCTTCAAGGCTCTTGGAACTCCTTTCAATAGGTCTTATTTCAGAAAAGCGGGGCCTTGCAGAAACCCCTGTCTGGGGTTTCCTTATCTGGAAATAACCCTTTTCCTGGTTTCCTTATCTGGAAATAATTCCAGCTCTCAGTGGTACTTGCCCACTCCAGTAATACAGCTGGCGGGGCTGCCATGATAGAGACCTACCCCAGCCTAGCGGTGGCAGGAGGGTTCAGCCTTCTGTCTGCAAGCAGCATTTTGCAATACGTAACAGAATGAATGAGCAAAGCAACAGCTCATGTTTCTAGCTGCCATCACCCAGCTAAGGTCAGCTCTCAGGTTAGGTGGTCTAATATCGTTTCTTCCATCTTTTCTTTTTGATTCTTCTTCCTTTATCACCAGATAGGCAAACACTTGTGCTTGCATTTTAACTGATCAGCAAGATACTGAGTGCTTTGTGAAAAGGAGGTGTTTGAAACCATAGCTGTAGCACATGTTGTGCTGGGACACAGTCTGCTTTGCAAGGTGTAGCAGGTCCTGACTACTTCTGTGCTTTCTGCAGAGGCTCCCAGATACACCAGAGGTTGCAGGAGGCTTCCAGTGCTCTTCGCTGGTAGCTAGATCAAACCAGTAACCTGGCCCTGCCACCTCTACTAGACAATAGACATCCTTCTGATTTCATGTGGGCAAAGATGCCTGGACATGAGGGATAGATACTGCCACAGGGTGGGCAGATAGATTCAGTGACAGCTACAGAGGGGACAGATGAAAAGGAGTTGATGGAATTCAGTGATGCAGAGGAGGGAGCCAGACTGGGAATGAGATGCAAAATCTATTCAGGTTGATGTGCGTGCTGAGCTCTTGTCTCTCCTTATTCAGTATCAAGGGAATCCTGAGGGAATCTAAGTGCTCATCAGTGCTATAGGTTGAAAGCACAAATTTCTGGTCTGACTACACGCATCGATGAAGGTTCTGCTGTGCTATTTCTAGCGGTGCATACCAGCAAATTGAGCTAATTAGTGTCATTATCCCCCTTTGGGCTTGCATTGCATCTCCCTTGAAGGGTGTTAATCAGCATGGTGCTGCCATTAACTCTCCGTTTTGCAAGAAAAGTGACTGGCAGCTTGTGAGATGCCCCTGATGGCCAAAAGGGTTCACAGCAGGGAAACCAAAGCTGACCAAGGATGTGTTCTGGAGTGCACCAAGGAAGAGTTTGCTCCCTTCTTCTTTTACAGCAAATGGTCATTGCCAACAGCATTGCATTGCTCCAACAGACTCAAAGGCAACCACATGCTTAATAGGCACACTGGCAGCAGTTGTGCACAGACCTGCCCTGTCCCATAGCCTTGCATGTCCATGTCCAAGGGTGTCCCCTCAGGCCAGACACTTCTTCCCTTCAGACGGTGAGTATGGGAGGACAGAAGGTGAACGGCAGCAAAGAATTCAGACGGTTTGATCTGAATGCGCCCCCACAGCTGGCAGTAGCAGCACATGGCATGGCCACCCCCAGCGATTCATCCTTTGCTCATGAGGAACACGTTGCCAGGGCGTCACAATACATACACGCGTGCCTGTGCCTAGGACTTGTGCCTGGCAGCAGGAGGGAAGCATGGCCATTAAGCAAATAAATACAGTACATTTCCATATCCATGGTCAAAATGGTAACACATGCTCTGCACAGCTATCCTGCTACTACTCTTTCCTGTCCCAGACAGAAGAAACCCCCAGAGCCTTAGGCTAAGGTCACGCTAGTGTCTGAGTGACGGCCTGCTATCACGCTCGCTGCACAAGCTTGTAAATAGGGTAAGCTCCAAATTCAGCAGAATGACATCTCTTGCTGGAGTGAGGCACCTCTAGGCCCTGAAGAGGAGTCAGAGGAACGCCACAGGAAGACATTTGGGGGCCTGTCTGTGCTCCAGGAGCCCAGTGTATGCACCTCCCAGGCTATCACCAGCGCTCGTGCACGGCTCTTGGCGCGCGCCTCCAGAGCCGCGTCTCACATGTGCAGCCTGTGCACCAGCTCCAGTTGTCCTAGCAGTGCTGCAGCTTCCTTAAGCTCCCAAAGATTTTTTTTAGTTAATAATGAAGTCAGCACCCGATTCATTTCAGCTCAATTTGTAAGCTCTTTATTTCAATGGTGAGCAGACCAGCCTGTCCCCATGTTTCTCCATAAAGGCCCTTGCTCCCTTCATGTAGCTTGAAAAAAGTAGTAACTAATAAGATTAGGACTTAAACCTGTTGAGCTTCATGGCAGATCCTGCAGGTCCTGAAGAGGTGAGAGCTTAAATACTCCAGCTGGCAGTCACGGATCTACCAACTCTGAGCCCAAAATGGAGAACTTCAAATCCACCTGCACTTCAGAGGCTGAAACTTGTTGCACAGCTAGCTTAGCAAAAGGACCTGCACCAGCACTACAGGGCAACCCATGCCTAGCCCCATACAAAAAGTGCTTTCCAGGCTGCGTGAGAAAATCCTATCCAGTCTGGCTCAGATCTGCTGTGTCCAGTGATAGGACGTTTATTTACATGGAAAAGACCTGAACAGCACAAGAAGTTTGGGAGTGATCTGAGAAGCCAGGAGGGATTTGCTCACTCCCAGGCCAAGAAACTAGGAGAGAGTGAGGCCTCGTGCCCCTTCTGCTTCTGTGCGGTTCTGGGGCCATGCTCAGCGTTCGGTTGCCAAGCTCTCTACAGACATCATTAAATTGGCCATATCACTTTATTCTCATGTCAAAAGCATATTTGGCACCAAGGCTGCGGAGACAATTTCCTCTGCAGATTAGAATAGCTCATTCTCACCTGCCCTAGTACAAGATCTGCCTCCAAGATCAATTGGGGTGACTGCAGGCGTGTGTCTGCACCCTGTGCAGCTTTTAACACAGCCCAATCCACAGTGATGCCCAGGTGGCTTATACTTAAAATTCATTTTATTCTAGAAGGAACAAGGGATAAATTGTAACTACCAGTTAGCAGCATCCAGCGGTTTTATGTATTATCTATGCCTTATCATAATCGTGCTGAATTCTTTTGAGAGAAGCAGCCAAGCTGGTGTGCATGAATTAGGCCACGTGCAGAGTATTCATGTTTGAAAATAAATGGTTAGTAGCTATATAAAGGGAAAGAAGAGACGTGCCAAGGGTAAGAACACATTCGCCCTCTAGTGAAAGTCCAGCGAGGCTTCTAACTTGCTAAAAGGTGGTGGGGATGCAGCAATGTTGGCTTGGAGTGATGGGTCTGTGCCAGTTAGGTCTGGAGGGGAGTTTGTCTCTGCAGGCAGGAGGGCTGGGCACAGCGTCCTTTGCCCCATGGCTGGGCACATTCGAGTACAGCGCCTCGTGAGCCCGGAGCTATAACGATAGCTGCATTTTTATTCATTGCAGATATCAACATGGCTGGGGAACCTAAACCTAACAGACCTAAAGGGCTGAAGAGAGCAGCCTCCGCGTTGTACAGGTAGGTCTTCACCGTGTCACCTCCCTGCAGTGATGTCTCAGGGCAGATAATTTCCCACTCCACAAGGTGCTGCCCCCAGCTCCTGGCACTTACCCCAGAAACCCCTCGGCTGCTGCTGCACACTGAGATCGCTTTCCATGGACTTTTATGAGCCTGGCCTTTTTAACATACTGAACTCAAGGGAGAAGAGCCAGTGAGGGGCGTGAGCTGGCAGAGCTAGGGTTTGGCCAGGGCTTGGGGTGGTGTGAGGCTCCACCTGGGTGCAGCCTGGGCCGTGGACGGAGCTGGACCGGGGGCCTGTTGAAGGAATGCAAGCAGTACCTGCTTTGAACTGCATCAGAGATGTTGAAATGGATCTGAAAACGAGAAGCCCTCCCCTCCAGCACCAGCTCCTTGTCTCTGCTCCTGCCAGGGAGCAGCCAGGGAGTAGGAGCAGGGCATAATGGCACATACCTCACGTTGGAGGAGAATAGGGAACAGGGATGATTTAGGCAAAGACGCTGGAGAACAGGGCAAGAAAAGAATGGCAGGGAAAGGGAGATAAGAAAGGAAGAAGGAAGGAAGACCTTGGGGCAACCAGTGAAGGTAGACCAAGGAGGTGGTAAGGAGAAGCTCTGAGGGAGCCCATGCTGCAGAGCAGCAAGGAAGACAGAGACCAAGGGAATGGAAGGGACAAGTGGGACATGGAGTTAGTCTGTGGGAGAGGTAAGGAGTTACTGATGTCAGAGTGAGCCTTCACTGCGACTATTGCCAACTCTAGAGGCTTTATCATGAGTCTCACAAGAACTGAAGATTTTCATTTAAGCCCAGAGTCTGAAGTCATCTGAATATGAGAGGAACTCTGCTCTCATTAAGTTCTGGCTCCGAAAGTTGTAGAACGGATAACTTGAAAAGGTATCGTGAGAGTATCCTCCTGGTTCAAGAACCCAAAAGCAAATACCAAGATTCCAAAATGTGTTTAATTAATAATTCTTACGATCTTTGTGCCAGTCTCCTGGTTTGGAGAGGGGTCAGGATTTAGAATGTGTGATGCTGGGAAGAGGAATAAAATCAATATCATTGTTATAGGTGGGTGTTGTAGTAAGAGGGAATCAGGAGAGAACTGCAGATTTTTCTACAAAAAAGGGAAAAGTGAATGAAGAGAAATGAAAAAAAGTGTGAAAAGAGTCAAGAGGGAGGAAAGAAAGGATGTGGAGAGAGGGAGAAGAAAAGAAAGGGAAAGAACAGTAATGAAAAGAAAGTTGGAAGACCTAGAAATAAAGCATAGCTGCCTGCTTATGAGAATGAAGCCCAGCAGTAGTGTTCAAGCATGGGCCCAGAGTCTGCCCCGAGCTAACTGCCTCCCTTTTCTGGCTCCCTCCGGTAGCCCCTGGGAGGGCACCCTGCTGCCTTGCGGGTGCTGATGGCAAGAGCCGAGGGTTTACAGGGTGGCTGCCAAGGTCAGCTAGAAGCAGGTTTATTGTTTTTAATTACATGGAAAAAGTACAAGTGTTTTTAATTACATGGATAAGGGATTTCTTCTGGGCTCATGGCTTGCGCTCGGGGCTTTCTGAGCGCCCTTTCTGTGTGGCAGCTGTGCTCGTCCTCTGCACACCCCAGCCATGTGCTGTCATTGTGGGGTCTCTGTCCAGATTCAGCCACACAGTCCCACAACGGCACAACCAGGGCTAATGAGCAGCCAACCTCGGTGGTGATAGCGCAGTCCCGACTTGGGCAACCCAACCAAACCTCCTGAAACGTCCCTTCCACCACTCCCAGGTGATCTGGCAGAACCTTCCCCAGGTCTCTTGGCTGAGCTCCTTCTTTGCAGCTCTCACCAGGGAAATTTGTCCTCCCACCCAGGGCAGCGTGTCCCTCCCAGCTCTTTTGGCCACCTTGACTCATAGGACCTCTTGGCCTTCCCCAGCCTGGCCCTGCTGTCACTGCAACGTAGCCCCGGCCAGCAGCAGAGAGGACATGGGTGCCCCGCTGTCGTCAGCACCACACAGGTGACGAGGGTCCAGCAGCGCCGGGAGCTCAGCCCCTCTCTTCGTGGGAGGCCCGAGGGTGGCTGGGGCCATGCTTAGCAGATTACAGGTGTCCCGTTAGGCTTACGTTGGCTCAGAGTTGCCCTATCTCGCCCCACTAAACACTGGGAGTGCAACCAGCATTGCCACAGCTCCTGCAGTTTTCCCTTGGATAGAAAACCCGGGGCACCTGAGTGCAAGCCAAGGTCTTTCATCACCTGCAAAAAAAAAAAAAAAAAACCCGAGACAAAGGAACTCTCACAGTCCCAGCCACCTCTTCTTTAAAGTATCTCTCTTAGCATCTTAAGTTTAAAAGAAAAATTAGCAAAAAGGAAAATTAGCAAAGCAAAAGCATCGGGCTCAGGTGCTGCGCTTTGCACGTGGCTCCGTCCCCCGAGGCCGTCCGCGGCACACCTGGTCTCTGAGGTTGCCAGACTGTTGCCTGCAGGCTTTCAAACTTTGCACAGCGGAGTGGGGAGGGCACTGGTTGAGCCACCTGTCTCTTCCAAATCGTTTTGCCCTTCATAGATAAGAAATGTGATCCCGGCGAGTCGGACTGGCAGGGAGGGACGGCTGGGAGGGCAGGTGGTGCTGCGGAGTTACAGCACATTGATTTCCAAGACATAAACCTCAGCATTCAGGGAAAGATTATGGCTCTGAGTGATGGAGAAGCATTTCTTACCTTGTTACCAAGGAAATAACAGTTTATTGCTTGACTCTTATCTCTTCACGGGTACTAGATTTATGAGCCGGTATGTGTAAACATCTTCCCAAGACAAGCACCTATGTGCATCTGCTGCGCACCTCTGTGTGTCACCTATAAATAAACAGGGACGACTCCAGAGAGCTCTGCCAATAGCCCAAGATCATCTTGTCCTGAGCTGCACAGACACGGCCTTGGGAGGCAAATCTCACTTCTGCTTCCCACTAGTTACAAATTGCTCAAAGAGACTTAGTCAAGATTTAATCCAGCTTGGCCCATAACCAGAATTTGGCCCTCGGGATTTGCCTGGGATGCGAGTCAAGGGGAGATGAACTCTCTGTGCATTATCCACGCTCATATGTGGAAACAGAGAGGACAGAAGTCTTTTTATTTAAATGTATGCATCCTACTTACGTGGTGCAGGTAGCCATCATACAAATCAATTTGTTCCATACAACAGGGCGATAGAGTCTTTCTTTGTCAGCATTTACTCATTGTCCATGCCTTGACCACTAATCCGTTTCTGTTGTAATGACTGATATTTCAGACTTCCAGACTGCCATGCAGTTGAGGAGAGAGAGAGAAAAACGTTTTCTCCCTCCCACAAATATGGTTATGTTAAAATATAGGCCAGAGAATTATACTGCTCTGAGCTTCAGCAATATTTCATCGTGGATTGGTGACAGATTTAAACTTTGCCATCTGGACTAGCAAAACTTACAATAGCTCGCTGGAAGGCAGGGAGACCAGGTTTGCAGTGAGCTGTTGTTATAGCTTCTTCTAACCATAATAAATTTTTCTAAATGTTAGACTTCAGAATTGCAGCCCTGTATTTTATAGAAATGCTATGTTAAACACATTAGATTATTTCTTCAGTGGCTTGGTTTTATTTTGTCTCTGCATGGGAGAGTCGCAGACTAGTGCGTTGAAGGGAAGGGATATCTCATTTTGGACCTAGAGGAATCGAAAATCCTGGCAGTTTCCTTTGATCCACCAGCCCAAGTATGTATTTGGGTGTTTGAAGCTTAATAGAAATCCCTTGGGATTTGGCCTCCCCTCTACCTCCGGTAGGTAAAGCATGCACAGACTTGTGCCATCATAACTTTTCTCAGGTGTCTCCACAAGAGGCAGACCTTCAGTCAGTGTAAATCCTTGCTGCTTGCCCTGATCTGTCCAGGTCTTCAGGGCCTCCCTCCTTCTGCCTGTGGCATTTTTCTGAGCGTCTCTTTGCACGGGAGAAGTCCCTGCACTGCTCCGGATCGGCTGCGAGCGGGGCCGGGGGGAGCCCAGGCCACCGCTGCTGGACGCAGACCTGCCTGGAAATGCCACGAACAAGTTAGAGAGGCTGCTTGGAAAATGAACCTGTATTTTGGCCATGTCTCCCAGGTATTTGTATGCCGTATCTGGCAAAACCTTCTGGCAAAAGCTGTTTTTTTTTTTTTTTTTAACCTGCGTGGGGAATGCCTGGGCAGACTTTCCGGGGCTGTTTGTTGCTGTGGGCTGTGAAGAGAAGTCAGCTGTGGCCCAGGAGATGCCGCAGTGCTGTGGAGTCAGCTACTGCTGAGTATGACCTTTGGAGGCAAAAATCTCTGCCCTTCCCAGCAGTGGTGGTGGTGGTGTTGCTCTGCGGCTGCAAGGACAGTGCCTTCATTGAGCTTTGGGACAACCTAAGCTAAATCTGCAACAGCAAATGAGTGCCCGGCAGCTCAGTGACCCAAGGAACCATCTCCAAAATGGTGACGGATGCAAACTACCCCTGGCTTATTTTCACATCCTGCAGACACAGAAGGATGGTCTTCTTCTGGCTCTGCTGGCATTCACATCCCTTGTTACAGCCATTGCATTCAGCACCGAGAACTCATGTCGCGCCTCCTCCAAACAACTGCTCTGCTCATCCCACGGCTGCGCGGCAGCACTAGGAGCAGCGAAACCCCTGCGAGCCCGGTGCCAAATCCACACCGACGGGGCTGAGAAACAGCCACAGGGCAGAGCAGGAGGGGGGCACTAGTACCCAGGGTGGTGGGCCCAACACCTGCCGGAAGGATTTGGGCGTGCAGTCCCAGCCTGCAGCAGCCTCTGTGTAGCCCTGGCATCTTGGAAATGCCGATTTCACTTCCCACATTTTTCTCCCAGCTTCCAGCTACTTTGGCTATTTGCAGGATGGAAGAATCTCACCCCAGATGTGCAGGATTTTAAAAGCTCACCATTTAACCAGTGCCAGACACTCCAAGTAGCTTTCCAGCTGATATTATTTCGACTGTTGCAATAATTAAGGTTGTGCAACCATTAATAGAAGGATGCAATCTGAGAACAACTTGTCACTTGGGATTATCAGTTACAGGGCCATCAGCCAGGTAATTAAAAGCATAGCCACTCAGATTTACATCTGCTATTCAGGGACATGCTCCGAAATGGCACCATACTTTCTGCAGATGTAATGTAAGCGCACCACATTGAAACAATTTGCCCTCCAATTCCAAATGTGTTGGTTTTGAACTTTTGTGAGTCATTAATAAATGTTATTTAATTACTAAAGAAAAATGGCACAGAAGAAACATCAGGGGTTGGACGCATCATGCTACTTGACAGAGCCTTACAGACTCATGCTGGCTCACTCTCTAATTGTCCCTATTTTATTTTTAAAGGTCACACTGTCACCAAACTGATGCAAAAAACTGCAAAAATTATTCCTCCACACAAAGGAAGCCCTGCCAGGTCATTGAAAAATGATCCATAAGTTTCAGTGAGGTTTATCCTACATGCAGTAAAATTACCAGACGCACAATTTCCAGATGAATCACTGAAGCTAAGGCACTCACTTTTTACTAGTATTTTTCTCTGTTCATATTGGAAGATGGGCCTTTTGCTCTGACTTTTTTGGAAAGTCAGGTCCACAGGATAATTAAGCACTTACTTCCATTTGAAATGGATGAAAGTTAAGTGTCTCTACTCCCCTGAGGCTTTGGGGTTAGGCCTGGAGTATCCTCCCAACCCCTTGCTTTTCACCCACAAAAATTTGCAGATGTTCTCGTACCCCACTGTCCTGCAGATCAGGCACGTTGTAACCTAACTCTCTGCTGTGTCTGTAAATAACAAGTGGCAAAATTGTGCCGACAGTAATTTGCATCAGGAGAATGCAAAGCTTTCCGGCTTTGCTGTGGCCCCTACTGCAAATAGCGTAACAACATTTATTGGTTTTATTGGCCACTTAAAATACCACACTGGTGTTTCAGCAAGTCTTTAAAAAGCCTAGCACTTCACAAACGTATCTTAGCTTTTAGCTAATACACGCACATCCACTAACCTGTGCCAGGTTGGCTCCAGCAGGGTGGCTAGGGTAAGAAGAAAGCAATGAGTGGGTCTCAAATTTTGGCAAATGCCCCCAAGCTTTGTTTCGCTTCTGAGTAAATGGCCTGAAGCTCCCTCCCGCTCTCCAAGCCATAGCAAGGTTCCCCAGCAAGAGCAGGGACCAGGGACCAGCAGCAGCCCAAAGAATGAACTTCTGCGGTGAATAAAGATGCTGCTTCTTCCTACGCAGTGTCCTTAAGCCATACGGAGAGGTTACCGCTGCCTTCCCCCGCCTGTGGACACAGAAAACCTTCATTCCTGCATTGCTAGAGCTAGAGCGAAGCATTTCGCCAGAGCCTGTCAGAACTGACAAATATCACAAAATTGTAGCAATTTCATTTAGGTTGCATCTAAGGAAGCAAAAAGGGAAGAGGGTGAGTCTGACAATGCAGAAGCAGCCTATTTCAGTTTGCTTTTCAGGTGACTTCTTATTTTTGTTGTATTCTGTGTTTATTGGATTCTGATAGAATTGGAGTCAAACATCTAGGTGATCAAAATAGATTGGCAGGCTGAGAGGAGTTATTTTTCTTGGACATTTTCTATATTTCCAAATTTCCTACTAGGTCAGAATGAAAATTAAGTTATCGGTCTTGAAAAATCTTCTTGAAAAATTTCCACTTTTCATACTGCCCATCTCTTAAGCCATATGAACGTGGTAGTTATATTCCAGCAAGAGCTGACGTGGTAGGAATTAGCTTTCCCTTTCAGAACAGAAAGGCACATAAGGAAATAGATCATGCTATGTTTGGGGTAGAAGGCTGCTGGAATATTCATTTCTCATCTCTGAGGCCAGCAGACATGTTGTCTAAAGTCAGATAAGAATGAGAGGGCACCACAGCTGAGAAGGGGAAACCCCATGTCAGAAAGCAGCAAGTTGCTGGACCTAAAATATATGGTGGGAAGCCCAGTACCAGCATAGACCAGATAGGAATCTTGGGTGAAGACTTGAATTTCTGGTCAAAACCACACTTCCCATCTGCTGCCCTGGCCGGACACCCTTCCTTTTTGTCACTTCTTGGCTAAGCTGCAGGATCCCAGTTCAAGTCTCTCTTTTTTTCTGATTTAGGCTACATACTTGAGCACTCATTCTTGCCTCTCTCTCATGCATGCCGCACATCCTTTGGGCTCAGCGTCCTTCCCGTTCCCTGTTGCTGCCTCCTTCTCCCTGTTTGTGTTTTGGGTTTTGTTTTTTTTTTTAATTAACCACTTAAAAATGTTTCACAAAGCAGGCCAGACACTTTCCTTTCAGGGGATGGAATAACCATTTTACAGCCATCTCTCTGTCCAGAGTAAAGAGGAGTGGATGGCAGCATAAGCTCTTACTTGGCCAACATTAACTCCCCCATGAGCACACAAGAGAAGCGGGACCTGTGGTTAACTGGGGGCAGCTGATGCCTTCAGCAACCTTTGACGCCATACCGCTGACGACAGCGTGCCGGGATGTCGGCCCGCACCAGGGCAGTCGTACCTTTGAACGCCTGCTGTAATCGTGTGTTTGCTCTTGCCTTGCAAGAAACCAGCTGCAGCAAGGGCAAAAGGATGGTATTGTGTCTCCAGGGAACGTTAGAGGCGAGAAGTGCAATACCTCAGCTTGGGGTGGAAATGCAATTCAAGCCTAAAACACAGAACGTGGACAGGGTCTCAGTGGGAGGAGAGAGGTGTGCAGCACCTTCAGTACCAAAGCTATTAAATTAATGAACATCCTCCTCCTCCTAACTTCTGCCCCAACAATTACACATGACAAGAAAAAAAAAAAATCAAGCCTTCAGATCCCGAGCTGGTCTAACCTGTGACCCGAGGTGGAGGCATAGCGAATATTACGGGCATTTGGGAAAAGGTAGGCTGCGGGCTTTTGCTCCCCTGGCTGCAGAGCAGCGAGCGCTATGAGCCAGCCGAAGAAACGCTCTGCACTGCAGGACGGGCTCCGGGGGCAGGAGGGGGAGCAGCCCCGGCTCCGTCCCCCTCCGTCCGGACATCCGCCGCAAAACAGACGCTCCCAAACGTCCGACATGAAAGCGTCCGTTCGACTTTCCCACTGTTGTTTTTTTTTTTTTTCAAAGACCACCCTGAGAGGCCACACCCCCCGTC